AGGCGAGTCGGGCTTCTTCTTGCGGTGTCTTCGCACTATTGGGGTATACGGAGACTTAATAGCACGTGCACGCCGTCTGATGCGTGAACTCTGTCGTGCAAGAAAAACCCGACGTAAAGCATCCACCTTATCGGTCCGCTAAATAAAAATACAAATATCAGTAAATAAACAGACATGATATTTAAACAGTGAAAACAAAGATAAATATTTCAAACTTTCAACCACAAGACAAAACAAAGACAAATACTAACTTCACAGTGTTAAAGTAAAAAGTTTAGCAGTTTTGGCAGCAACCGAATAAATTTACCAAGCAATCTAAGTGAAATGGTTAATTTAAGTGAAATTACGAGTAAATTTATCATCAAGTTAAATATGGAAAATCTTAAACTTACCTCGTTGCGTAGAGTATGAACCTCATTCTGCAACGATACTACCATCTCACGTAGAGCGGCAACCTCACCACGTAAAGTAGACACCTCCACACGCCATGCACCATCGTTATCGCGTAGAGTACCGATCTCCTCACGCAAGGCATTGACCTCATCACGTAACTCCCTTGACTCATCCCGTGGAGGTGGAGAACAGGGAGATAGAAGTCGTGGCATCTTTGTCGGTCGCCTATCATGAGGTGATGGTGGAGAAGAGACTCGATGATGTGACGGGATAGGTGATGGCTCTCGTTGTAGAGGTGTATAGTCGGGTCGATCAGGTGATGGCTCTGGGTGAGGTGATGGCTCTCGAAGTGGAGGAAGTGGAGGATGCTCATCATTCGTGCCATCAAAAAAACGCTGACTAGCTTGCCACCAATCAGTGGCAAGCTCAGCCTCCGTGGGTGTCAGTCTCATTAATGGAGTGTTGGCCTCCTAATAATATAAAAACTAAAACAAAGTTAAACGTCTACTATTAATAACTTGTTTATATATGATAGTATTTGTGTTAACTTACATTATTTATTGTCGCATATGGTATTAAGTCTTCCCAATCCAACATACGTTTCCTCTTCCAGGAAATAGCCCTAGGAATATCATCTGAGGATTTTAATGCATATGTCCGCATGCTGGGGAAAGCCTCGAATATCCAAATCTACAAACAATATAATAACAAACATTAGTAATTGTTAAATAATTAATTATAATTTTGAAAACATTATATAGAAATTCTTACCTTAAAGGCCCAAACAAAGCCTGACAAAGTGTATTTCGACCCATCGCCCCGCAAACTTTTGCGGTCATCAAAGGCAGACAACAACTTAGTCCAGGTAGCTTTCCATATATACGAACCCCACGGAAACAGATTCCATGCATTTAGGTCCTCTACCAATAATATTAGCTCCTGAGGAATAGGTTGTCTGGCCTCTCTGCCTAGAAAGCCGGCATACAAAAGTAGTAGAAGGCATACTCGGATAACATCGACGTCATTCATCCGAGTAAAACCATCTTTCTTATTAAACAATTTCTTCATGTCGTCGACGTGTAAGTTCGGCTTCTCTATTGACTCATCAGGAAAAACCCTGGATAACCATGATGGGCGGGTGATATGACGAGTGTACCGGCCTACATCATCGTGTCCGAATCGTAGACCAGTGATTAAGCAGAACTCCTTCCGCCCAAAACAAGTATACGCCGGTGGAAAATGAAACCATATCTCTTCCTCACCACGTTGTATACTGTCAGGTAGATCGCTAGTCATGGTCTGAAGCCACAAATGGGTCAAACTAGCATCTCCACCCGGATGCCGTACTCTCAGCCATGGCCCGAAGCAGGTTTCTTCAAACAATTTTCTTTGTGCAGGTGAAAGCTTCGAAGCAATTGTAGTGGCTAGGCTAACTTTATTCCTTAATGTCAATGAAGCCGAAAAAAATTTCTACAAAAAAACAATAAACATACCAAGTTAGATATACCAAAAATTACACTGTCAAGATATACCAAAAACAAAACAATAAACATAAATAGTAGTTATTCTTGAAACTAAAATTTGCAACACTGTTTCTGTCTTTGGTTGAAATGAAAATCAACGAGATAATGAGAATCGCAACGCGGAAATGACTATCGCAACGAGAGAATCGCAACGCGAAATGACTATCGCGACCAGACAATCGCAACGCGAAATGAAAATCGCAACCGCGAAATGAAAATCGCAACCGCGAAATGAAAATCACAACGCGAAATGAAAATCGCAATGCGAAATGAAAATCGCAATGCGAAATGAAAATCGCAATGCGATTTTGGTTTCGCGTTGCGATTTTTATTTCGCGTTGCGATTATCTCGTTGCGATAGTCATTTCCGCGTTGCGATTCTCATTCTCGAAACTATTCTTCTTCTGCATTACTTCAACCAAAAGACAAAGCAAAGACAAATACTAACTTCACAGGCTAAACAGTTTAGCAGTATTGGCAGCAATCGAATGAATTTAATAAGAAATCTAAGTGAAATGGTTAATCTATTATTGAAATTACCAGTAAACTTATCATCAATCTCAATATGAAAAACCTAAAATAATGCAAAAATTTCAAAATAAAAATAAAAAAACTAACCCTCGGAGGTTGATTTTCCATTTCTGAATGATTGTGAGGGATTTTTGACTGTGAATGGTTGTGAGGGATTTCGCCGGCGATGGGGACGGAAATCTTCGGAGATGGGGACGGATTTCGCCGTAGAGAGTGAGAGATGGAGATGGGACTGAGTGTTATGTGTTTGGGTTTGAGGTTATGAGTTGCGTGCGATTACTGTGGACGGTTCATTTTCCGATTTATTAAGAAAAAATACGTGTTTGGAATTTGAAAAAAAAAATACGCGTTAATACGAATGGCGCTAAGTAAATCGCGTTGCGAAAGTCAGTATCGCGTTGCGAAAGTAAGTATCTCGTTGCGATTTTTTATTATCGCATTGCGATAGTCAGTATCGCATTGCGATTTTCCCAATTCGCGTTGCGATTTACTTATTCGCATTGCGAATTTCCCAATTCGCGTTGCGATTTACTTATTCGCATTGCGAATTGGGAAAATCGCAACGATACTGTAGACCATCGCAACGCGATTTTCAACTATCGCATTGCGAAAATGCAACGCGAATTTGCGATAATGGAGATCGCGTTGCGAATTAGCGATCGCATTGCGATTTTGTTGGTCATTTTGGCAAATCAGGAAAAAGTTGGTTAAAATCGTATATTATATGGGATTTTTGGTCACTGAGGTTATTTTCTCTTAATATATACATAAAAATATAGTAAAAGTATTGAATAAGTTACATTAAATAACAAATTTTAAAATTCAAAATTAATTTTTTGTCAAATTAAATTTTAAATTCAGATTTGGATATTCGAATGTGCTATCCGAAAATTCATATCGGATATAGATCGTTATTTTAGATATTCGAATTTTTTTTAGATATGACGTTCAAATTTTCATATCGGATCTAATACCCGAATTTGCACGGAAAAGTATCACGTGCGACAGTCTTAATATACGGCTAAGGATATTATTTCTACCCGTTTTGTTATTATTGGTGCTTTACTAGTTTTGGTAAAAATGGTTGTCCCTTTTTCCCATATGTATGGGGTAAGGGGGAGGTAAGATAGTAGGCTATCCCCAACACCAGGTTGAGAGTAGCTTCCGTAAGAGACCTCCGAATTATGAAATGCCCTCCGTGGGACTCGATCCCACGACCTCAAGGTTAAGAACCTTGTGTTTTACCAGTTTTGGTAAAGAGCTTCCTAAAATATTATTTTTTTCTATCGGTTTTGTTATTATTGGGCATTTTACCGGAAATGTTAAAAATATTAATGTTTTAGGTATAAATAATGTTTTAGGTAATTTCTTACCGGTTTTGTAAAACAAATAATAACAAAACCGGTACTTCCTTTCCTTAACCGTATATTAAGATAAAGTTCTCAATTTGCACACCCCTAGTAACAATGATAAAATCTCCACATTACTTATTGGGTGAATTATGTACTGTTCACTCAACTGTTAATTTTTTTTATTTTACAATTCCACTTTCAAGTTTCGTTTTTTTTCACCCATCATTTAGTTGTCTAATGATAATAGAAAATTGTAATGTTTTGGTTAATTTTATTTATGAAAATAACCTAATGTTTCGCACTTCTTTCCATGGCAAACATCATTCTCTATCGGATTTGATGGTTTTCGATCATTGTTTGTAGCGTAGTTAATATTAAAACTTCCCCATTCTTACTTCAAAGTTCGATAATAATAAAAAATTAGATGAACAAAATGGAAATAAAGATAAAGTTAAGTGACAAAACGTATTTTACTCTTTCTTATGGTGCTCTTTTAATGATTTTTTATTTTTATTTTCTAAACTAAATTACACACAAACACAAACACAAACAAAAAACTAAATCATACATCTCAAGAGCTTGAGTCATGCTTTACAGCTATACACAGCTAAGGACTACTCAAGTGCCAAACTTTGATTGAATTAATCAACTAAAGATGCGCCCAGCTCCTGATCAAGGTTTATATTATACAACATATTAATATTTTATAAGACACGGAGAAAGGTGCACGAATCAACTTACTTTGGTGGTTAAAAGAATTGTTGTTGTTCTTAGAGAGCATTAGTTCGAGTATCAGCGATTGAACGTTCATTATCAAATAGTTGAAAGTATTTAGAATAGATAGTGTCTTGTAATCACCTTAACTTACTCAAAAAGAAGAAGACAATATGTGGATATATGTATATAACTTAATCTATCAGTTTTAAATATGTTCTGGGTCTGATCTAGACTTGTATTTGACACTCAAAGTCTAAAACTAACTACTTTACTAAAAGAAGAATACGATTGATAGTAATACTTATTCTTTAAGAACTCGAAGTTTACAGATCAATTTAGACTTTGCACAACAGTTGGGGATGTCTTGTGCGCCATTAAGCCTGATAAATCCCATATAAGTACTAAGGCACAGCTACTATGACCAAACACTAAGGGTTTTCTACAGGATATTTTCCCCCCTTTTTCCATCAAATACAAAGAGTTATTAAGGTTTTGGATGAAGGAAAACTTGTGCACCAGCTGACATGAAAGCATTATAGGGAGATGCATATGCAAAAGGAACAAGTGTTTCTGTAGTAACCAAAGCAGTTGCTGTTCTTGAAGTAGCAGCAGCCATTGTTAGAGCCGCAGCAGAACCGATTTCATTTGCCTGCTGTTGCTGCATATACGTCTCTTGAGAAGAGCCTTCGCCTAGTTCTTGATGAAGGCCATGATCATAGAGAATACCCTTAAACAGACCGCCTTCAATATTCACACTAGTCCTATAAGCATACTGATGACCACCTCCATCTTCACCGGAGCTCACTCGAACTCGTCGGAACCTCGCCTCAGAAGTCACTTCAGCTGGAAAATCCCTCACTTCTAGCCCTAAAAAAGGAAACCCAACAAAAAAGCTTCACAATATCAAAAGAGGGAGGGAAAAAAAAGCTGCTAGGGTTTCATTCATCAACACAAAAGATGATATATACAGTACCTGAAGAAGGATTTTGCCGAAGTCTTTTAGGGTTCCTTCTATAAGCAGGGACCCAAGTGCTTGTGACATGCGTTTGACATTCAAATCCTTTGCTTCTGCAACAAGTGCGACACCTCATGAACCCACAATCTCTCTTGGCTTTGTTTCCACACTCTTGACACCTCGTGCTGCCTCCAAATCCTGCCTTCCTCGACATCATCATCATCAATTATTTCAAACTGTTGGGTGGTGTTTGGGATATCTTGAAGAGGTGTGCGTTCATGGGAGTTTCAGGCATGATTTTCTTTCATAGGTAATCTAATTTCTCTGGGTTTTTTTATATTTATTTTTTCAGTATAAAGCCGTGAATCGGAACAAAGGAATTCATATTGAGTTGGGTGTATTAATATGTTGTTAAGAGAATCGGCGAATGAGAGGAAAATTGATGAAGACGATGATGTATAATCGGTATATTCAGATAGGTTACAAAGGAAGTGTTTATATATACAGGTGTAGCTAGCTACTCTACAACTTCCACTAACAAACTGTAACCAGTTAACAGAAAATTATATTTCTAACATCAATCTACATAATTGTTTTGTCGCTTTTTAATATTTTAATTTTTATTATTGTTATTTATATATGTTATGTAATTTTATGATTTTTAATACTTGCTGAAACCGAATTCCAAAAATTTATATGTTATTTCATTAATCTTTTGTTGATTAACTATTAAAATTAGTCCAGTACAAAAACCTTCATGGAATTTTTAAATGTTTTCTAAAGGGCTAATTTTTAGATCATAAATCAATTTTTTAATAATCTCAAGCCAATACATAATAGTACATATTCAAAGAATGTCGACAATTTACGATGAGCACTTATAATTCCTGACATACGTGTTGCTTGAATATAAGACCTCAAGATATAACAACAATCCCTTAACTATTAAAGTAGGTTGATTCGTGCGATCATAAACCATTTTTTAAACAAAAATAAGATCCATAAACATTAAATGAATGTAATTAAATTTTATATTAATATAAAATATTACTCATTTTCTTTATATTTATTTATACGCCAGAAAAAGGGTATTTCATGAGACAAAACGCTTTATTTGTTTTTCTTTTGTTGTTAAAGAAGAAAAATGTGAAGAAAGACAAGTTTATTAGTAAAATATAAATTATATTTTATTAAGATATTAATTTAAATTATAATATAAATTATTCTTTATTTTATTAAGAATATAAAAGGTCAAAATAAAGTTTAGTAAGATGTAGTTCCAATACATACAATATAATTAATTTTGGGATGACCATAGTAACTTGATAGAAAAACTATATTTTATAGGCACCTCAATCACTATACCCTTATTTACAAAGGTAAGATTCACCTAAAAATGTACCTCTCTTACACCTAAAAATGTATACAATAACCAATTAAAAGTGAGAAACTTATGTGCGACGTTTAAGGCTACAAAATAATTGTTAACGAACTTTTTTATTAATTATTAGGAATACAATATAATATATATTCGAAAAACTTTCAATCATTTAATATTAAATGTTTATACAACTTATTTACATGTTTTTGAACATAAAATCTCAAAAAATAATGATAATTTTTTAACCATTAAAATCACTCTATTCGTACTATCAAACAAACTTATCAAAAGATGCCCATACTTTGATAAAGACGGTCACCGTACGAAGCTGAGGTTTGTGTGATTCTAATATTTCATTCAATGCTTGTTCTACTGTTGATGTCGTTCACATAAATCTTCACAAACACTTTCTCATCCAAAACAATTGTACTTTAATAAATTTTCGAAAAAAATTATGAGAAAAATATAAGAAGTGAGTTACTTCAATTGAACAAGATCAAGAGCAAAGAGGGTTTTTTTTTTTGGATAATCCAAGAGCAAAGAGGTCGATAGCAATAAAAGTTAAATTAATGACTCAAATTTAGTGGGAGAGAAAACACTTGGTAAAACTAGAGAGATTTACAAATGAGAAAGGAAAAGGAAATCAAAACAATAAAAAGAACCATTTTTTAGACCAACTATAATGTAAACCTGTCTAATTGTTTTATCTTCTTCTTCTTCTTCTTCTTTTTCAAGGATTTCGTAAATTCATTACAATGGATTCAACTAAATTACTTGTTTGCTTTTTCGATGCATGGTTTCTTTGTTCATTTGCGTATAGTATTTTGTTGATTCTCGGATATATGTGTCAGATGAGATTGCAGTAAAGGAGGATTCGTTTTTCATTCGTTCACTTCGGATATTCTTCAAGTTTTCCTTCTATACGTCTGATGTGTTAGGAAGCTGGAGTGATCAATCTCTATATGTCGTTGGCTCAATTGTTCATGCTCTTGTTTATCAGGCTGTCAATGGTCGATTACAAGTATATTTATGACAATGATTCACTTTTTATTTGCATTAAAGATAATTCTTCTTTTGACGAGGATAAATTTTTTTGAGCATTGAGGGAATGGTACATGCATAGGAGCGGTAAAACTAGCGATGGCATGGAACCGGAACTTATAGGTTTCGACTCGACACAACTAGGTCGATTTAAAAAAAAAATCAATTTCGGGTTGGATCGGATTGTTAGAAACTATGTTCGGGTTTGGATTTAAGGTGAAAAATATCTACTTGACCCGAAAAATAATATAAATTTACCTTTTATATGTAGGGATAATTACAATAATAACCATCTATATATTATTTTTTTAATTATATCCCTATTTTTATTGATTAAGAATAATTTTTTTATAATTATATTTTATTTTGAGTTGTTTGGGTTCGGGTTTTATCTCAAAATGTCGGGTAGGGTACGGGTATGTGAAGTCACCCCTAAACCGGTCTGGTCGAGTTTCATGTGGAAGATATATATTTGTTTGTCATATCAAATTGACTGAAATCCAACCTAACACATGTCCATACATTTTGAACAAGTCATTGAAGTTATTTTCTAAGATTGGAATATAAACTGACCTAAAATGACATTTTAAATGATATTCGAGTATTTCTAGGTCAAGATATTTCCTTATAAAATAATTGTCTTTCAATTAGCTTTCTAACACGTTTAAAAACATTGCAATTGAACATTAGAAACTCAAAATACATCTATTTCAGTAAAGATAATTATTTTAGAAAATTCTATACAAGTTCAATACAAGATTTTTTTAATAATGAAAAATTATAAATATTTTCATTTGCTATTTGTAATTAAATTAAACTTAGCATTTTTTATCATGTATTTTAAATAATTTAAGATCATATTTATCGGTTATTTAATTTATTCAAAGAATAAGATGAAGTTGAATATTTATTTATTATTAATGTTATTTAGTCTTTATATTAAGTAAATACCCTTAGTTTGTTAAACATCCCTATTCTAACTAAGGGTCTTTGTCTGAATTATTAAGACATTACAATCATCATTTTAGCCGTTGTTCAACTTCAAACAAAAGATAGTCCCTAGATTGCTAAAATGAGTTGCCCTTCAGTAGATGAAAAATAATTTCATTGGCTTTTTAAAAATAGTTCATGTTAACTTCGTAAAAGTTTTGAACTTATTTGATTCTTTTTACTAGTACGTGGGCTAAATTTGATCCATTTAATAGTAAATGGACTAACTTGAATGAATATCTAAAATGTAAGGATTAAATTAATCCATTAAACAATAAAGGGACTAGTTTGAACAAATCTTATAATAATGAGACCTAGCAGATAATTTCACATATGTTGTGAGCATATCGAATACTAATAGGTAGATTGAGATTTTTTAAACTTATATATATGATCACTATCATGTGAATTGTCAATAGAATGAAATAATTCCATACAAGTGAGAATAATGAAAAATGTTCCATTTACATAATTATTAATAGGAAAATAAATTTAAAAGTATAGTTCAAATGATGTCAAATGCTCTATTTTATTTTCCTTTTAGATTTTATTGAAAAATTCTTTTGTTTTTATAATTATTTTACGATTTATATTTGGAATTCACTGTGACAAAATCATGTAACGTGTAGAGAGAACCTTACCCCATTCAAAAGTTTTTGTTAATTAGCCTTTTAAGTCCCTATTACTTTAAATATTAGTCAAACTGAGACTTGCACCCTCCAATTTGTATGTTTAAATTTTTGTTTGATACATGTTGTTTTGAAGTTAAATAAATTAGTCCCTCATGATATTTAATTCTAGTTTCATCCCTATAAGTTTGTAGTCGGGATCCCTTCCAACAATATCGTCTATAAAGTTAAAACATACATTCTCCTGTTAGAAATTCAATATATCTTACCATTACACTCTACCCTTATTAATCCACCTAATACATTTTTCCACTTATGGTATATGAAAGGCTTAATATAAAAATAAGAGTCCAAATTATGCATCGAAAAACGTTTTAGTAGAATTTTTCACAAAATAATATATGCCTAATTTTTCTCGGTTATACTTCTAGGTGGTTGTCATTTATTTTTTTTAAAATTTTTAATAATAAAATAACTTTAATTAGAAAAGAAAAAAAAGTGTAATTATTTATAAAAAAACAACTTTTTAGTGAAATTATAAATGAACCCTAAACAACTAAAATCTCTCATTTCAACCCTCATTACAAACCATCTACGGCCACCATCGTCACCGTCACCCACTCTCGTCATCCACCCATTGATCAATCGTCATCCTTACTATCACCTAAAATCCCTAAATCTAAATCTCCAATATCCAAATCTCTAATCCTCAATTTCAATTTTTTAACTCAAATGGTGACTGACCGCCGCCGCCGCCGCCATCAAACGATTGAATTTTGATCAGAATAGAAAGGTGGTTCGAATGGTGACAACATTGTGGCTTATAGATGTCGGAATCGGCCAAAATCAATGAATAATGATGACGGTAGTTTAAAATCGGACGAATCTTTAAACGATTATCCACGACAAATGATAGCATATTACGAGGATAGATCAATGGGGATTTAATCGAGGGTCGACACCGGTTATGATGACGATGGTGGTCACCGTTGGCCTGCCAACGACTTTTGGAAAAAAGAAAGGGGAAAAGGGGGAGAGCACATGGGGGAAGTGGTTGTTCTGTTTTTTTTTAATACAAAAAATATTTTTAATTTTTAATATTTTTAAAAAAATCTCAAAAAATTACCAGATTGACATGTGTCATTTAACGAAGATATTTAACAACAATTAATG